ATAAAAAAAATAAGCAAAACATATGCTGTGGCCGATTTTTCTACCAAGCTTCTCACACTCTCTCACACACACACACACACACACACACACACACACACACACACACACATCCCTCTCCCAGGGCCCCTTTTTCCTCCCCTCATCCTTCCCATCCTCCACCTCCCCTCTCTCATCAAGGGTCATTTTACTCAGTTTCCTGCCTGCCTCTTCTGGCTTTTACCTCTCCATCTCTGATTGGTGAATTTCAACATGTCTCTGATTGGCCAGTGCTTTTAGTGCCTCCCCCTTGTAAACACCACTGAAAGCACCTCCCCTTTTGAAGGGATACTCCTTCTTTCTCCTAGGTCTGCCTCCTCCTCTGACTCCCCGCCTCTTCTTGGGGGCTCCTCCTCCTCTACAAACAGAGAACAAGGGTGTTAGAGTGCCTCCTTGTGGACGACACGTTACACAATGAACACTATGCTGTTTAAAGACTCAGATTATTCTGCACTAAATACAACAAAAGATGAATTTCCTTGACAAAAGGCATTACACTGACTTGAAATTCAATAACTGCTTCACAGGAAATAAAAGGTTCAAGAAACAAAACAGAAAAGAGGCTCTTACAGACAAATCTATCAATTCTGGACCCCGGATTTAATTATCCAAACCTAGAGTGCCATCTAGTGGTCGTGTAAACTCTGACATCTGAGAACTCAGAAGTAAAACACGTTAAATGTTGAAATAAACTACGGGCAAAAAAAGCAGCAAAACAAAACTATTCTCGTCCGTTTTTAATTTTGAACAAAAGTGGCACAAATAAAGAGCAAAAGAAATCAAAGTCAGAGAGAATTAGTATCGTCTCAGATTCAATTGACTAAAGGTGTTTGCCTCCCCACTCGCAGGACTGTTGGAAGCTCCCTTTCTTTGATGGAAAAAGTATCTTTCAAGCCCAAACTGGCTTTTCATCAAAGCTAACAAAAACGTAATTACTTTTTATTTGACTCAGCACCTGAACACAACACATGTTTTGTATTCTAATTAGCTGACTAAAGGCATAGTTGACTATAAATCCCAATCATATGAAATCATATTGAGTTAAGTAGGAGTAATATGTGCATAACTCTATTTTCTTCATACAGAGCTCTACCATGGTGCCATGTAGGCGGCAACAAATCAGCAAATTACAAATTGGTGGTGCCTGGTAAAAAGTCATTTAAGCTTTTCAGGAACAAAGACAAATGTCCTTGTTGTAGTCTGAGTATTATTCAAAGACACTTTGAGAGGGCTTAATTAGCTTGCAATGATTCAAAATGGTCTCAGGTGTGAAGCCTATAATCAACCAAAACCAACAATCAACGAACATGTTTTGTCTTCTGTGCCATAGAGCTCCATTTAAAATCACTTCAGCGAGACAAGCACTTCTTGACATGTTTCTTCTTTATGAAGAAGAACATGGGCATCATAGTTTATTTTGAGACAATCCTATATACCGTTGTGGAGCTGTTTTATGGTACCAAATCCAAAATAGTTCCCAACAAACACATTATTTTCTCCTGTTGAAGTAATGTTTGATATAAACTACAGTGCCCAGCTGTTTAATCCAATTATTTGGACTTTTGGATTCAGCCCTTCAGTACTTACCACTCTGGGTCTGACTGAGAGTCACTAACAGACTGAGTGAACTGAAAACTTACAGATTAACACATTGTTTGTGTTGCTCTTTTATTGGGACTTGTTGCCAATAACAAAAAGAATGTCTTTAGAGTAATATTATGTCTTATTAGGTTTTGCACAGTTTTACTACCCGTTTTAAAATGGAAACTATATCAGGATAATTTATTGTCTTTTCCTGAGATGCTTTCAGTGAGGGGCAGGAAATGCTCAGGCCTCTGCATGTGTGGTAGGTTAAATACTTTAACATAAAACTTTCTGACATTCTGAGGAAAGAAAGACACTCCACTTCCTGTCTTTCACCATGTCTGTCACCTGAACCTCCCGTAGGCTCAAAGTTTTCACTCTTTCACTTCTCTTATTGGATGTGGTCTCGTGAGAGACACAAATCCGTCATCATCCCCCCCTCAAGAATACAGCACAGAATTACAGCGGCGGCACAAACAGCGGTATGAGGCTGTGTTTCTGTCTGACCGGTGTCCCATACATCATAATGCAGTGATCCCGCAGAAATGGATTTGATCATTGATAAAACTATAACCCGTCACAAGGGCTTGATGAATGTGTCTCCTTGCTGAGTGTACGGGCATGTAAAGTGTTGTGATGATGACCCGGCTGATGTCTAAGTGAGGGGGAAGATAAACCTCTTCATAAATCAGCTCAACAGAGGGATAGCAGCACATTCACACAAATCATCCCGGGAATCCGAGGGTGTCCCGGTCCTGCAGGAATTCTGGGAAGGCTGCCAGATACCAGACAGAGAGACAGACGGGCGAGGATCAATGGTGTCATTGTGGCCGGTTTCAATCTGCTTCCCGCTTCTGTCTCTTCTTCAGTCTATTTTTATTTGTGTCTCTCTGACAGTCTTCCTCTTCTTCTTGATTGAGTTGTGCAGGAGTTCACAAAAAAAATAATTAGAACACAGACGGATGAACTTTTTCAAGAAATTCTTCGTCTTATACAAATGAGATGAAACATGGGTGCACAATAAGTCAAAAGCATGTTGTAAATGGGAGCTTCAAGGTGTATTAAATCAAACCTGCAGGGCAGTATTTCTATCAAGGAAGCTGTGTCTGTTTTCAAGCGGACAGCATGTAGAAGCAGAGAAGAGGGGAGGGAGAGGAGGCCCACAGGCAAGAAAATGGAAAGATGAAAAGGCCGCCAGGGTGGCGAGGGATGCACATTATAAACATTAAGAAGAGAGAATTACAGTGGCGGAGAACAAGGTCCTTGGGGGAGTGCTCGGAGAGCTCGGTGAAAGAACAAAGGGAGAGCTCGAGGTATAGGAAGCCCTCTGCGGATAAGACTCTGGATAAGTGTCAGAGACAGGATCGTAAATCCAGAACCCCATAGTCTGCAAGCTGGGGCCGGGGTCAGGGAGGGAGAGCACAAAGAGGAGGGCTGGGGAGAGGTGGGAGGTAAATGATAATACTGAAAGATAGACCGAAACTGTAGCCATAAAAAACATCTTAAGGTTGATATTGAATCACTGAAACCAGATGCTTCTCTATGCGATTGGGATACTTTTCCGCTGAGATGCTTCAAACCGCTGTGTTAAGGGTGGGAATTGACATGGCAACATGGCAAATGGAAACAATGTCAGGGTCATGACGCATGGATCAAATTAAAGCAGGTTGTCATTGTCCGCCTGTGTCTCACACCAGACATTCCTCACTATTGACACGTTCAGAAACAGGAATGGTGAGTGACGTCGTCCCCACTCCCGTGTTTGCTAAATACTTGTCAAAGCTTAATAGTCCAACAGTTGCTAGATACAATAGTTTCAATAGATGAATTGCAGTTCTAACAAAGAGAGACGGAGAAAATACCGCCGGTCATTAGGTTTGCTCCAAAGTAAGACCAACAACACATAACTGCAACACAGGATAGGAGCCAGTTTGAGTGCCTTTTGAAGAAAGATTAATGTGACATTTAATGTCTTCTGTGGCGAATTGTCAAGCATGAGAAAACAGCCCTGATGGTGTCGTCTTAGGTTTGGCTTGGACTTCAAAAAAAAATTTTAAAAAAATATATATATATATATATAACTTATATACAATATATAATAATATTAATAATAGAAAGCCTGCATTGCAATCTCGGGAGAGGGAGTTGAGGTGTTTACCAGTCATGGAGGCTCTAACCCTAACATTGCATGGTAGCCCCCTGCCATCAGTGTGTGAATGGGTGAATGATGACATGTAGTGTGGAAGCGCTTTGAGTGGTCAGAAAGACTAGAAAAGCGCTGTACAAATACAAATCCATTTAGCATTTATTTAGCGTTTTTACCTAATTTGCCGATATGTGTGCAAGGAATTTGGCTCTGGTACTGTCGATGTTTATACGAGGGGATAGCGCACCAAATCGCAGAGTAAAAGCCAAACAAATGAACTATTAACTCAATCATTTGGTTTTTTTAAATACAAATTTCATGGCCATTTTTAACAGTAAATGTATATATTTTGATACATTTTCAGTGGTGGCAGCTTAGGGCTGAGACACAGGTTTGGATCGGAAAGTATTGAGAGATAGAAAAATGTATTGTTAATGTGTGGTTTTATGGTGGGATTAATTGACAATGACAAAATATACAAGGCCTTCAATGTGCTCCTCTGCATGTGCAGCTCTTCATTAACTGTGTCCAAAACAAGCAATGACGTCAATGATAAGGATAATGAAGGTGTTAACGGGCCAATTTACAATTATGTTACAAATAAAATATGTGTAGCAAGAATTTCAGATAATATTTTAGATATTTTCATTTATTTGAATACATTTAAGGGACAACATAGGACATAATTGAATGCATCAAACAACGAGTAACTAGAGTTAAATGATTAAGAACAAGAGAAAAAGACTGCAAAAAAAATAAAAAATAAAAAAAAAAATAAAAAAATCACATCAGCTAATTTCAATGCTTTCAAGATAAAAATGTGTTCCTAAATGACATTGCCAGCAGGATATAATTAGCAAAGCCTGCAGTATGAAGAAAATGCAACCTCTATGGAATTGAACAATACTAGTTATAGCACATGAGCATTGGTCTGCCATTCAGGATTTCCATTGAACGTCTGGTTTTAGTTTCCCTATGATTTCCTCTGGCATCAATACCAACTGGTTCATTAATCAGCCTAATTAGGGCATTCATGCCTTTTCAAATATATTTCTCAGAGCTTGATAATTATTGAGACAGGAATGTGTTAAGCTTGAATTAGTGGTTGAAGGTATTAGTGTATGCGTCAGGTTGTGCACATCTGTGTGTGTGTGTGTGTGTCTATCACGTGCGACAGCTGACGTATGTTTTCAGGGGTCCTTAATAACAGTGTGGTCAACAGGAAAATAAGACATGTGTCCTGGTGCTGTCCTGAGAGAACACGTCTCCTGCCGTTAACATGTTGACCGCTGTGTTTCTGTTAGCGCTCCTGATGCTGGGGGGTCTTGGAGGGGCAGCGGCGTCTCACTTGCAGGTCTATGGGAAATCAATCAACAGTGATAAGACTTTGATGAGCAGCAATGATGGAGGACACACTGTGAAGAAACAGCCACACCAACAGGTAAGAACTATTTAACTAGAGATGCTTATTCCATTGGGAAGCGGGATTCGTCTTGTTAGGGTTTCCTTCACAGCTGAAAAGACTTGGCGATTAATTGAGTTTGTCAATTGATAATTGTAATTTTTCCAAGCAAAAATGCCAAACAATTGCTGAGTAAGCTTTTTAAAAGTAAAGATTTTATATTTTACTTTGTCATTTTTGATTGTAAATTGAATATTTCGGGGTTTGGGGGTTCTGGTCAGATAAAAAAAAAAGCAATCTGAAGACAGACTTTTTCACAATTTGTTGACATTTTATAGACAAAACAAGTTAGCTTCAGCACTACTTTCCTTGTTTTGTGCACTGCCTCTGTCAAGATATAACCAATTATAATTAACTAAAACTATTTTTCATAATGCCATACATCTTTTTAAAAGGAAGTGTATTAGACCAATACGGAAAATGACCAACTATTTGGGTTATTATTAAGAAACATAAAAACTGCTATTGATATCACATTTACACATTATGATAGAGCAACTGTGAATACATCATTGGTTTGGATTTCATCATCATTGGCAAATAAAATTACAATAAAATATAAAGTGAGTCAAATAAATCCTTTTTACTGCATGGAGGGTATTTTGATGTATAAAATAACATGACGTGATGTGACCTAACTAAGAAGAATATAAGTAGTAAAAACTAAGGCCGCAATGAACAGTTGACTTGTTTATCGATTCATCTTTTGACTATTCTCTTGATAAATAAAGTCAGTTTTTCAACGCAATGTCAAAACAATGTAAGTCCAAGGTGAGCCTAAGATGACTTATTGAAATTGCTTGTTTTGTCCAACCAACTAAACACCTAAGACTTTGCATCATAAACATTTACTATCATATATGACAAAGAAAAGCACCAAATCATCATATTTGAGAGGATGGAACCAGCAAACAATTGTAATTTTTGTTTAAAATAAAGGTGAACTGATTATGTTGACTAATTGACTTATGGATTGATCGACTAATAGTTTCAGGTCCAGTAAAGAACACGTGACAATATTCTTAAGTTAGTCTGATCTGGACTTCAACATGTTTTTGTTTCCAAAAAAAGAGTGAAATCCGCAGGAGTTTGGATCTCGAGAGCTATAACGTACTCGTGACTCCCAGAACCAACAAAATCAGCCTCCCGAGCATCATCAAGCTGTACCCGCCCACCGCCAAGCCTCTCCACCTGCACGGCAACATGCCCATGCGCTTTGGACGGGAGAGTGTTCCTGGTGACGACAAGTCCCCAAATTCGCCCCCCAACATGCCCCAGAGGTTTGGCCGGTCCTGGGGGGCGATTCAATTGTTTACTGAGGGCCCTAATGTCCGAGAAGCACAAAACCCAGTGCTGCCGCAGAGATTTGGGAGAAGCAGTCCGTATAGGAGGCTTCTTAGGACTCTGGTCAATGAGAAGTTATTAAACACTGGCTTGCATTGGTAGGCAACTCTTAACCCTTTATTTCCAATTCAATTTAATATCCGTACACGTCTATGAGTTTTGTTTGTTGTGAATAACGCCGACTATGTATTCTCTTCCCACAGGGCTAAAGATTTTGACTTTACAACCAGCTCAGAAGAGGTGGAGGTACAAGAGAAGTCCTTTAGAGGATGAAAGGGGATTCGAAAGGCCAACACAGAGGTCTAGCATGTAAATATCAGTGTTTTTACTGTGAAGACAAAACAATAAAATGTTTAAATGTATGCGTACCTTTTAATAAAGTTATATTATTGCGAAAGTGGTTTGGGTTTTATTTTTTGCTTTTTAATTGAGTTCGACTTACTTTTTGAAAATACAATTTTTTGTTTCATATTGGTGGACGGTGTTTGTATGAGGCTTCTGGTCCCAAAAGAACCAGAGAGGACACTCCTTATCTTTATCAACTCCTGCTGTAGAAAAATATATAATTAATAATTATTTGTGAAAAGCACTTGGATGAGTGGGGTGAATCAGGATCTAACAAAATGAACATATTCTTTTCTGTAAGAGATTCAAAAATAAAACGATTTACATTTTTAGAACGATACCTCCACGAAAATGTTACTTTTTCTGTTATATTATTTATATTCATCAAACTGCATTATATTTGTCTCTTCTTTTTTTTTTTTTTTTTTTTAAATCAAGCAAGCTGCAGATGAAGACACAATTCTGCCAATTCACAACCACAGACCCAACTGCTAGGAGAAGCCATAAAGTGTAAGTGGTATACTCAAACTATAAAGATAATGTAACACATTCTCACGACCAAGAGAGGAAGACAAACACCAACTCAACGTCTCCACGTTGAACAACATAGAGGGTACAAATCACAGGCTCTTCAAGGGACCAAAGGGAAGCATAAAATATATAAAGTTTGATGGATTTCAAAATAGTGTCCTCTATCTTTTTAGAGGTAAACAAGAGAGGTTATAAAGGCGCCAGTGCCCAGGGAACGCCTCTTACTGACTTCAATACACTGATATGTGTTATAAGAACAAAGGCTGCTTATCAAGTGCCTAAATATCACAACATGACACATCTTCCATCCCTGCTCTTACTTCAATAAAATAACTGAATCTTATTTGCTCTGCTCCTCCTTCACAGATGAGCAAAGCACTTAAACACATTAATGATGAGTGCATTTCATTTAGGCGTGTCCGTTCTAGGCCTGGGTGTTATGCTGGCTCACCAATAGCGCTCACTAAGACACACCTAAATGGAACAGAGGTACCATTAATAGGTTGCATATAGACCTTTTCAAACTTAACAATATAAACATTATATATGGACCGCTTTGCTTTTCTCACCTGCCATGTTTGTTAATTAATGCAGTAGAACACAGGAAGTAAACCTGGATCAAAGATTTTGCCCTGGCAACCACATGCATGAATGGCAATGAAAAGAGCTATAGTGCCTTTTTTTTAACAGCAGTCATTTTGACTTGATAGGAAAAGCACAGGTGTTGCTAATAACATTAACGATGTTCTGTTTTAAGTGTCCCAGTAATGTGGTGACACTGTGACAATCAATCCAGCCGTCGTTAATTTGATTATTGACACCTGTGCTTTCACTGTGACATGTTAAAAAAAAAAAAAAAAAAAAAAAAGAAAGGCCCTACAGCACATAGTGATGAAGGAGCGTGTTCAGAGCTCTTATGTTCTAATTACCGGTGTGGGCCATTGATAAATCAGTTTACAACTGTATCCAAGACACATTTGGGTTTTGTTTATACTGCTTAAAAGTCATAATCGTGCTAGTATTTTTAATATGACAATTTTAGGATAAGTCTTGTAGGCCTATACCTTTAGGAGGCGGTTGAAGTCCACACAGCGTGTCAGAGAGCCAGTTAGAGCTCACTCACACAAAGACAACATGTGGAGAATCTTGTTCAACTGCTTCAAACCACATAATCATGTCACTCATTCATAATCCAAATAATTCCCTCAAAAAGTAAAAGTGAGTCATTCTAACTTGGGTTGGTATCAGTGAACCATCTCATTTCATTTGATACATCAGTAAAGGTATTCGCATACATTGTAAACATACCTCACCTGCCTTTGGGAGCCAGTGTGGGTGTGACCCGCATTCTGTAGCTGCGTCGTCTTCACCGCGTTGCGCAATGTGTTTGATCACATCGTGTACAACCCGACCCAACCGCTCCCTTTCCCTAAATTTTAAAGATTTTGCTTTGAGACTCAAATCCAGTCGTGTCCCTGGAACCCGCAAGCTTGTACAGCTCGAAGCTTAATTCACGCTCACATCAACAACAACCAAATCCAAAACTTTGAAACGTGGAGGAGAGTTTTACCTGGAGGTACTTGAACTACACAAACCCGTCAGGTAACCCACGGTAAGGTTTATCTTGTGGTCATAGTCTTGTTGTTGTGTTTTCAGTGGCTTCCTGCGGTGGAAAAACACCACGTTAGTAAACAAACAGTTCAGTTTCAGTTTTAGCGTCACATTACAAACTGTTTTTTACAGATCTGTTTTTAAACCTCTCCAGTTCTTTCTGTAGCCTACATAATAACCTGTGTTTCATGACTTCTTCAATCCGGAAGGGCGGGGTAACTTTACTAATCATGTGTCCTGTGTTATGTCACTTCAGAAATACTTTCAGACCCTTTGCTTATATTTACTCTCACGTTCTGTTTCGTTTCGTATTTTTCCACTCACTCCTTAGGCTGTGACTGACTGTGGCACCCTTTCACTGCCATCAGTTCGTCTCCTCACAGCTGCTGTGTCATGGGGGACATCGACAAAGGGAAGAAGGTGTTTGTCAAGAAATGTGCTCAGTGTCACACACTGACGAATGGGGGACGCCACAAGGTGGGACCCAATCTGTGGGGTCTGTTTGGAAGGAAGACAGGACAGGCACCTGGCTTCTCCTACACCCAGGCCAACATCGATAAAGGTATGGATCCCTATGACAGATCGGTTGATTCATACAAATAGCTAACTGATCAAGACAGGCCATTTAGAAACACGAGAGTATATGTGTGCAGCCCGGTGTATTCTCACTTTTGAAGTTTAAGAGTCGTTCACCACTAATAGGTGGCAAAACTGCTTTAGAGACGGTGCACACCTGAGAGTTCCGGATGCCTTAAGCACACACTCACACCTTTTTGTTAACGTTAACCAGTTACATTGTTTACTTGTTTTCCAAAAGGTTTTGCATTTGCAATGTGCAAAGGGCAACAATCAGACGTGTGCATTATTTTGTGCTGGCTAGGGCACTGTTTTCTTTAACCAGGTCTGTCTCATAACACAATACTTTTGTTATAATAAATTAGCTCATTTGGACTGAACTCTTGCTTATTTTCTGAAAAACCCGGTCCACATTTACCTGTTATAGAACACCATGGTAACCTCTGTTGCATGGTCCACCTACTCTCAAAGGAGAGCACAGGAAAAAAGTTTGCAGTCCTCCATTTATAGTCTGATTATTTATTTTATGCATAGAATGCATCTTGTGCCTGCAGAATGGAATACCTGAGATCATCACATCGCCCCAAAAATTGTATGAATGTCAACTGAGAATGCTAATTTGGTTTTAGCATGGTATCCGTCTGTCCTTCCTGCCATGAATATAACAAATGTGCATCTCCATGTTTAGATGTGTGCAGTATTTGTGTCACAGTTGCTATAGTGCTGAGAAGCAGCTTGGTCCTTTTGTTTCCTCTACCTGTCGGACAGAGCATGCAGGTCTGAACAGGCAGACTCTCTGCCTCTGAGCTCTGCTCTAACAGAAGGCAATGAAAACATAAACACAGTCATCAGTTAATGAGAATGCATATTTGTCATTTTAGGTATCATATGGAATGAGGAAACTCTGAATGACTACCTTCAAAGTCCTAAGAAGTACATCCCTGGTACCAAGATGATCTTCAATGGGATCAAAAGGAAAAATGAAAGACTGGATCTTATAGCCTATTTAAAGGACTCCACCTCCGAATAAACTGCACAGAACACACTCAGTGGACAGAAGCATTACACTGTACATTTAGGAAAGAACACAGTGCGTTCTTTGTTTCAATTTTGAGTTCACAATTTGCAATAGTTTTAAAAGTCTATATGTATTAGGCTACCACATTGCTGCAACACTGTTTCTGTGTCGAGGAGACTGTTTTTAATTATCGTATGAGTCAGCCTTCTTGCAAGTTGTGGCTTTTCCAGATATTTCTCAGCCAAGGCTTCTTAAAGAGGCAGCCATCCATTTCGCTTTGCTCAAAACAGAGTTGTTTACATAATTATTTCACCACCGTTTTCACAGAAACTATTTTATTATGTTAGGCACTTGTTTAGTCTCATTCTGTTGTGTGGTTTTCTTCTACACTCTCAAAGTGTTTGTGTTAAATGGTGCTGGACTGTCTGTCTTATCCCCTCCTCCTTTCTTTAAGCCAGTCGGTGGAATCGCTTTTAATGTTATGAAGTTGCATTTTCAAATGAGTGTATTGTATTCCTACTTTTTCTAAATTAACGTGTGTCTATATGACTTAAGAACAATGAGGTCAAACTAATTTGTAATTTACTGGAAAGGGGTGTTTTTTTGGTTAAAGTAGCACACTGACAAATACTTTAACTTGGTCTAATAACGGCCTGTTAAATAGGTGCTTACATTTATATGATGGTCTTTAAACTGAGTTACTGTTTCATACTTTGAGTCAAAGGACGTGGCAATAAAAATGTTCTTCTGCTTTCGCAAATTATTTCAGTGAGTCATTTTTTCACATTTATTGTTTCATTCCACTTTAAAATGACGTATTTAGGTCATATTGTATTAATTTAATTTACTCAATGTGTTTAGCGCCACATAATTGTATATGTCTTTAGTATTTAACACAATACAGTAAAGTAAGGGGACAACATCAAGAACATGATGCTAAAAACATTAGTACAGTTATAATGAAATATAGTTAAGTAGGCATTTGAATGAACATATTTAACAATCCAGACAGTGAGATTTGTTAGTCATGGAGTGAAGTTTAAATACACCCTGTCATCTATATACATGTATTTGCACAGCAGATGTCTCTCACCTTTGTTGTCAGACATAAACATGTCAAAATACGTCAATAATGGGGAGTGAAGTTATTTAAGAATATTGATTACCGATTTTTACTATTATTTCTTCCATGAACTAAAACATCCAGCAGGTGGCGCCTTTGGCACTGCTGAAGAGACCATCAGCACTGAGGACATAAAACGTGCCAAGCGAGTGCTGCATGCCGACTTATACTGTTCGTGCCTTCAGCCATTCAGACAGCTGCACTGAAGTCGATCAAGAAGACACAACCGTTAATGAGCCTCTGATCCAGACCCGCCGGGACTTGAGCTGCCACCGCTGTGTTGGCTCCACTCAGTGGCCTCTGCTGGCCATTTAGCGAGGGGAGGGAGAAAAAAAGGTCCTCTCTCCTCAATTGTGTTGTTATTGAACGGTGGCGGGAGAGAAGCGGGTCGATAAGTGGATCAGATTTATTAGCGGTCCAGATTGGCCACAGCACGCCAAATGGCAGAGGAGCCACAGTCGGGACTGCACACCGCGCATTTCATTTAGCGCAGAGGAGCGCCAGACAGCGTATCTACAAGTACGGCACAATTTCAAGTGGAAGGTAAGGTGGATCTTGTGTATTAAAAGCCATGGATGTGGATGGCATTGCTTTCATTTAACGCATCAGGGCTTTAAGGCATTCTGTCCGTTTATTAAGAAAAAAAAAAATAGAAGGGAAAATGTTGAGCAATAATGACGATATGAATTAGCTAATTGAACCCGGTGCTGCATATTTCCATCAATGTAGCTCAACGCACGATTATAGTTGTTGTTGATTGAAGGTTTTCTTCCTGCATCCACTAGGAAATAAGAACATACTGTAAATGTTTGTGTGCATGAATCTGTGCCAGCCGTAGCATGTTGACTTCTGTCATAAAGTGGCAGAAGTCATAATAAGCCTGAGTGACAGACCCCCCCCCGGTCTAATTCTGGCACTAGGCTGTAGGGGGTTGGTGCAAGGCTGGAATTACAGCGGTGGCTGCATCTGCTGCAGTGTGGAGCTGCAACAAGTTTATGAGGAGAGAGAGATGTCTAAAGTTAAGGGGTTGTTCAAATAGTGACACCCTCCAGAGGAAGTAAGGAAAAGTGACAGCTGCCAGTAACTGCATTAAGCTCAGCAAAAATAGAGAGTGTGTGTGTGTATGCGTGTGTGTGTTTGACAGCTTGTGTCCTGTGCTTTAGGGAGAGTAAACCGTCAGGATGGATCTGGTCAAACTTGCAGTGTCTTTCCACATTCTTGTGTGTGCTGCATGGGCCCGTCACTCTTACGTGGACAGCGTCCTCTCAGCCCGCTCAGGTAAGTTGTGTGATTGAACTGTAAGACTCACAACAGAAGGAACACATGTTGCATGGGCCTTTTTAGCACTGTCAGTCATCATGTCTTTCTCACAGCTCTCAGGTTTCTGGATGAGCCGTTGACATTTGACCCCTGCTGTCTCATGTCACCGCCTCTGCCACCGCTCTTCCCTCCGCCACCTCAGCTGTGGAAGCGGGGCAGCCCCGTAGGCATTCACAAACGCACACACTCACACACACACACACACACACACACACACCTGCATGCATAAATACAGCATATTACACACATTTGTCCACTCACAGCAGGTCTCTGATTAAAACCCTATTCTCTTTGATTTTTGTGTATCTTTGATTGAAGGACGGTATTAGCGTGTTGGAGCCAAGTGTTGTTGGTGGAGAGGTACAGGAAAAACAAAAACCTGTGATACCTGGGTGTTCACCTGGACTTCCAGGACCTCCAGGACCCCAGGGCCCAGAGGTAAAGCCCTTTTTCAAAATACCACACGTTGCTTGAAACCTTGCAGGGGCTGCACCACACTTCAGTCTGATTAAATCGGAGGACATCCATCAGGCAGTGTAATCAGCCATATTGTTAAATGGAAATGAAACAAAATGACCTTTTATAGTATTGATTTTTCAACAAATGTACCATGCTCTTTCAGAATATGTGAGCTGGATATAAATTCGGTGTCATTTTTCAGGGTCAGGGTGGATTACCCGGCATAAGAGGACCAAAAGGGGAGAAGGTGTGTTTTTTGTCTTTATAAGTCGTGAAATATGTCTCTGTTTTTTGCTATAGATGTATTTGTGCGTGTGTCCTTGTGTCTCTCTCTCTGCTCTAATGACTGCTACATCTCCTCTCCCCTCATCTGTCCTCCTTCAGGGAGAAATTGGACGTCCAGGGTCAAAGGTGCATGTCTCGCTCTCTCGCTCATCTCTCTCTGGTCCATCTCGCATGCCCTTGGAATAATGGGATCTGAATCTCTCTCTCTCTGCCTTGTCTCCTCCATGCATCCTCAATCTCTATGATGTGATTTGTCTATTGATGTGCTCAGAATATCCTCTGCAGCTGCTAAATGGGTCATGCTGCATTAGTCTCAGTAGCCGCTGGAACCGCACAGCAAAGCTTGATCACATCCCTGGATGTCTCCAGTCATCCTCCGGCTCCTCGCCTCTCTGTCATCCCCGACTTGTTTCCTTTGCCTCTGCTTCTTGCTTCTCTCTCTTCTCCTTCCTTTGGCCTGGCTCCATTAGCCCCTTGTACTGGACTCCAGTCCTGCTGATCCAGGCTCTCCAGCACTCCACTTCTGCACTTTAATCTCCCTAAGTGCTTTTGCTCTCCGTGATAAATCATTCCGCACAGCGGCAGGTCCGCGGTGTCTCTACATGCTGCTGTTTTAATGACGCGCAGCTAAATGAGAGCATGCTGCTATAGCATTGCAGCAGCGCTGGGATACTCGTCCAGGTGTCACCGAGATGTGAGGCTGTGCTGTAAAACATTTGGCTCTCCAGCTTGCAGGCAACTGGCGAAAGAGCAAGATGATCTCAGTGGCATTGTTAAAGATTTGCATGCAAATCATAGGCATGTTTGACATACTGATTTGTTTCTGAAGCTTATTTAACCTGGTTAGTCTTTATAAAAGTCAGTAGTTCTTTGTAATGGAAAACAGGACCATGAAACAAGCAAATTAACAAACAATAAAAGCTGCAGATCATCAGAATATCTAGCAGAAATAAGTCCAAATTTAAAGGAATAGTTTGTATTTCCTTTCTTCCCAAGAGCTAGATGTAAAAAAAAAAATGGTTGGAAGGTAACCAACTGAGACTAAACCCATCCAAGAAATAGTTAGTATGGCACGTAAACCCCACCACAAAACTACAACTTGTCATTTTCACACATTTTCACACATTTTTACAAATGTTATAAAGACTTGACTAGATATAACCAGCTCCTAGCTGTAGCGGTCTACATTCCATATAGACACAAGAGTCTCCATTAACTCTGTTGAATTAATTATTTAAGTAATGTTCCAAATACTTCTAATACTTTTACTGAAGAGAACAAGAAACAAAATCCTTCATGCAATCTAAAGACTCCCTCAGCTTCCTGTCACTCTTCCAGCAAGAGGGAGCTGAAACTGCATCAACAGTTTCACTAAGTGCTGGTACTGATGGTGTTTGTGTTCCTGCAGGGTCGTACGGGGGCTCCAGGCCTCCCAGGGAAACCAGGACTACCAGGATGGCCTGGTCCAGAGGGACCCGAGGTAAGTCTCATGGAATCACTCCAGGTACCGTCTTGAGGTTTTACACAAATGTTTAAGGCATATCACAAATACAATATGAACCGTCAAGTATGTGAGGGTTTTTTTTAGGGTGAGAAAGGGGATCCAGGTCTCATGGGATTACCAGGACTGAGGGGACCACCAGGGACAAAGGTTAGTCACATCTTTACAGCATAATACACACAATTCTGTGTATGTTTGGAAAGAAAAGTAGTCATTTATATTTATTATATATTATATTATCTGCTGTTATATTCCTTTGTATCTTTTCAGGGTATGCCTGGTTACAAAGGAGAGAAGGTTAGTTCTGAATTACTTCTCATGGTGCAACCGTTTGTCAGTACAAAAATATTAAGTCCGTTATTTAATTTTTTATCTCTGTTCTTTTGCAAAAGGGGGTTCATGGTGACCCTGGAGTAGCAGGACCAAAAGGTGATAAGGTTGGTAGAGAAATATTATTTAAAGTCCTTAAATTGTTTTAATAAAACATTGTGTTGTTTAATTCTTTACAGCCCATTTATGCTTGGCTTTGACTATGAGCAATTCCCACCATGCTGTGTTATAATGGACTTGAACAGTTTGCTCAATTACTGGTTAGAATCGAAAGTAGTGACAGTTTCTTTCAGCATTTCAAGCTCTCTTGAGCCCTCTATCTCAGAGGCAGAGTGAGATTAAACAATCAATGAGTGCCTGTTCTGCTGAGATAATGACTTTCCTCACATCAAGCTCTCATTTCGTCTCTATTTAGGGTTCCATTGGTTTGCCTGGGATGCTTGGACAGAAGGTAAGAATGAATCAATAACGACGACATTAAAGAATCTGATTTAAACAGATAATTCCTCAACTCCTTTCCCAGGGGGTGCAGGGACCAAAGGGAGAGCCAGGACTCACGGGGAGGAGAGGACCTACTGGACGGCCGGGGAAGAGAGGCAAGCAGGTGAGAAAAGACAAGGAAAAATGATGCACACCCTGACAGCATCACTTAACCCTGGTGTGGTGCTCTGACACTCTGTGGGCTAAGATGTTTGGCATCTTAGATCTTCTCAGCCTACACTACTATATGCACACACACAGTGTGCCAGTGTCATGTAGGTCACCTTCAGTGTGTGTGTTTATTTTATAATATTGGGATGTTGCCTGGTTTGCACAGGGCACAAAGGGCCATAGTGGAGCCCCTGGAGTCATGGGCCCTCAAGGACCGTCGGGTCAAAACGGCCATCCAGGGCCACCCGGTCCACCTGCCTCAGGTACAATGACTAACAACACTCATGCACAATCAGCCTCAAATTACAGTGTATAAAAAATAAAAGGAATAACCAAAAGGATGGTGAAAGACTGTACCAGCCACACCAGGGGCCATAAGAGACACCCCACCCCTCAAAACAGTGTAATAACTAATAATAGACACAAAAGAAGGAGCAAAATAAAATACACTACACAGGCGGACAGAACAGAAGACAGCTTTGTCCTTCTCTTCTCACCTTCCTTAAATTTGGGGGCCAGGGCCGCCCACTAATCATCAGATCTGGAACACCTGAGAGAGAGAGAAGAATTAAGAGGGATAGCGCATGTAGAATAGCAAAGTGTAGTGCACCAGTTATTCTTTTTTTTTTGTTGTTTTTTTTTGTTTGTTTGTTCTGTTTGTCTCTGCCTTGTAAAGCGTCTTTGAGTATCTAGAAAAGCGCTATAGAAAATTGATTTATTATTATTATTATTAGTGTAGTCATATGTGTGTTAAACCCTTATCTTTGTCATGCTTTTTTATTTTTTTGCAGGTCTCTATGTAGTTGGGGAAAAGGGAGAGACGGGTCCTCCAGGTCCACCGGGTCGCTGTGACTGCGATTCTACTCTTGGAGCAAATAACGCTCCTTTTGGAAGCTACACTCAGCGAGGTGGCCTCGATAAAGTCCCTGCAGTAAGACATAAAACAGCTTCCCTACAATATTTCCATCCAAACTGAATCCATGTTGTTCACACTGAATCAATAATTACTCATCAGCTTTTGCTTTCTGCTGTGTGTGTCTGTGCAGATATTTGTGGTAAACAGTGAGGAGGAGATGAACCGTCTACGTCTAGACAACGCAATAGCATTCAGGAAGGATCAGAGGGTGCTCTACTTCAAAGATAAAGATGGATGGAGGCCCATACAGGTAACAAAGCCACCTAACAAAGCCTCGTTTTAGCCTCAATGCCTTGACACTAAAGCCACGATTTCTTGACAACTTGTCCAGCCCTTCCAGCCGTTCCAGTCCACAGAGAAAGTCCCGGACAGACCTGGTGTGTGTGGAGATGGAAAGGTGCAGAGCCAGCACGGAGAGGAGTGCGATGATGGAAACCAGATTGTCACTGATGCTTGTCTCAGTGAGTTACATGCTTCTCCGGCTGAGTTAAACACATGCACACATAATGTAAAGGTACAGAAAAAAAGTGAGTAAAGAATGATTTACAGACAGTGATTCTAACACCTCTTTACGTAGGATATTGTAATACGGTGTAACAAGAATTAAGATTTAAAAAAAATAGAACTATGTTAGTTCAAAAAAACATTCCTCAAATAGGTTAAGGTCAGGCTTTTTGCTGCACAAACACCACCGTGCTGTTACCAACCCAGCTGCTCATGAGATGCCCCGCAGAGCTGCCGTGCACCACAGAGTCTGAACCCACAGGGTAAAAGCAGTATGGCACTGTGAAACCTTTCCTTGGTCTTTCATTAATCTCGCCCACTCTTTTCCTGCCGTCCTCTCACTTCCTTCTTCTCCTCTGTTCAATTAAATTAGCAGCAAAATGCTGTATTGGCATCACTGAAACACACAGGAGTGCCAAAGCAATCAGTAACGTCTTCTGTCTCCTTTCCCTCCCTTGCTCTCTCCCAACTGCCACCACTTCGCTCTCATCTCCTTTACTGTCACCACTTCAGACTGTAAGTGGGCCTACTGCGGAGACGGCTACCGCCATGACGGCATTGAGGAGTGTGATGGAAAGGACTTTGGTTATCAGACCTGCAAGTCCTATCTCCCTGGGTATGTGAAGCGTTCAGTGTGTCCATATATTATTCCATTTATTTGGGGACACATTGCTACTATGGATCTTTGAATCTATGCCAAGACAGCACAATGCAGTTCCTTTTTAATCAGCAGCACATTTATACTGCAGCCATCCAAGCATTGTAAAGGTCATTTGAATGAACTGCTGTACTTTTACGGTGGTGTCACTGAAAGCATCCAGAGATGATGGTGCATTATCTTGGCACCACTTGCTGCACATTGCTTTAGTTAATGACACAGCTCTGCATGCTTTATGCTTGAAGGATTAGATCAATACTTTGGGGGAAAGTAGATACTGACTTTCTTGCCGAGAGTTGAGAAGATTGATACCACTGTTAGCTTAGCTTGAAATAAAGATTTGAAGCTTTTGAAGGGAAAACAGCTACAGTAGCCTGGTACTGTCCAAAGGTTTATTAATGCCTACCAGCACCCATAAAAGCTCACTTGACATGTTATATCTTCTTTGTTTAATCCATACAAAAAAAAAATATATATATATCTATCTCTCTCTCTCTCTCTCTCTCTCTCTCTCTCTCTCTCTCTCTCTCATGACTTCTTGGAATTCAGTGCTCCCTGCCAAGAAAATATTTGTGACTGCAACTCCCTGTATAACCACAACTGATCATTTTAAAATGTTTTATGTTCAAATTAAACAAACAAAATATATCATGTTAATTAGTTACCTTTAGAGGTGTGGGTAGGCAGGTTTTTTTTAATCTTTGGGAAAGAGCCAGGCTAGCTATTTCCTCCTGTTTCAAGTCTTTAAGCTAAATGTTGAACGATAAAATAATGGTCCGTGTCTTTCTGCAGGTCCTTTGGGCAGCTCAGATGCACCGACTCCTGCCTCATTGATTCCACTGGTTGCAAGTATTTCACCTGAACAGGAAAGTGGAAAAATAATGTCAGATTGCAACTTTGCAAATTGTATTTCTGATCACAGGGGTTATACTTCGGATTTGTACTGAAGTCTCACCCCTTTAAAAAATAACTGAAGGACCGAGGGAGCGCTCTTGTGCCCGCTCTGAGCCATGAAAAGTCATGAGAATCGGCTTTGAATCGACTGTCTCCCTCCCGGAGGTTCAACTCTTTTACTGGCCTCAGGGAGCAGCTCCCTGTTACTGTCACTCCATCGGCTGCAGTACTGTTATGGACACTGGTGATTGTGCGGAATACTTTAATAATTTAATGATTGTATCATATGAAATAGTTACAATGTGTATGACTTACTGACTGTTAATGCAGAAAAATTATGTATTCTGTACTTCTTTTGTAATGAGAGAGAGAAAATAGCCCATTCCAAAAGAGGCAAATATATTATTGATAATTTATATATACTGTAGTATGCAAATCAGGGTGTGTGTAAATGTGTTTATTCCTGTGCATTGTATTAGGAAACATGTATTTATGAAGTGCAATGCTGTGATATTGCATGTAAACGTGTACTCGTGCACTGCTTTAACCAGCGCTGTAGAAGTAAGGCCTTTTGGAAGTGAATGTCCAAATACCCGACAGGAGGAAAAACGAATGTCATAATGCAAAAACAAAAATACCTCTGATTGTCGCAGCAGCATGAAGACAACTGCTCAGTTACACCAGAATGACTCCACAGTGGATTCAGTAGTGTGATTAGTGTATAATCTGCCTGCATGACTGTAAAGTTCATAAATCACTGAACACTAATAAAGATTGGGCTTTTAAAGTGGATCTTTCAGTGGTGAGAGGGCTCGACTGTGGGCGTGTTTTTTTTTTTTTTTTTTTTTTTTTTTTTTTTTTGGGGGAAAAATTAACCAACAAAAAAAAAAAAAGACTTCCTGCAACAAACTGTATGATGAAACGTCACTGCCACGTAGAGGACCGACTGCACGCGCGTCGCCGCTTGTTCTTAACACTATTTTAGCGAGCTGCTTTTCCTGCCGCTTCTCCTGGAGGTTGGAGCGTGGCGACATGCTGCTGACCGTGCTGAGCTGGCTCTGCTCCTCCCTGCTGGTGTCTGTCAGCGGGGGGAAGCTGCCCGAAGCTGAGGTGCAGATAGAAGTCCTGCACAGACCCTTTCTCTGTCATCGAAAATCCAAGTACGGAGACATCCTGCTGGTGCATCATGATGGGTACTTTGAGAATGGGACCATGTTTCACTCCAGGTATGTTTCATGACTGACACGACCGTCTTTATAATGCTCTTAACGTGAGATTTAAGTAAGACGGAGTTGATTAGAAGTTTTCTTAAATTAAGTCGCACCTGGTGGTTCGTTGCCATCCTGTTTTACCTCGTTTAGATGAAACCAATTTACTTTTTTATTTTATTTTGATAAACAATTATGCATAGAAATGAAGTGTAAAAACTTTAAATGCTAGTTTTCTTGTTCGCCGGGTCAGCAACGTTACTCCAATCCAAGTGCACACGTGTTAAATATCCTTGGTGACGCCTCCTTTATTGGGGTCACGTGATAAAACACTTTAAGGGGTCAGTTCAGCCAAGAATAAGAGGAATACAAATGTTTTCCCTTCCATGGTGATTTAGTTTGATGTGCTGAAGTTTTGAGGTATTCATCTCTGAAACCAACAGTACATCAGCAGCTTTCAAACATGGTGTTAAGTTATTCTCACAGAACCACAAACAGGCAGCATATCTCTGCAGGGATAATGTGTTATTTTAGTGAGAAAATGTGATTTGGGTGAACTGACCCTTTAATATCTGAGATTTAAAATCAGTAATGTGAGATTTTTTTTGCAAGAATTCTTGATTTTTGTTCTTTCTTTATTGCTTTTTCTTTCCTCAGACTGCAATTGATCTCAAAACGCATTGACCTTTAATGATGATAATACGTTTCAGCCAGGAAATAATCCCATAAAACCACATCCACATTTAGTGATGTATATCCATGTTGTCTAGGGTGACATTTTAAATCTGGACGTTTAATGAAAAAGTTGTTTTTGCACTACAAAGTTAAATTCAATATAATGAATGATTACACATTTCCATTACATACCTTTGACATTACAGCCAGAGTTACAAAGGGGTGTTGACTCTACTTTCCTATATTGTTACCTGTTATTGTCTTTAAAGGGGGGTCTCACAGTGCCCCCCTTTGCAGACCTGTAACACTCACTCTCCCACTCCATGTTTGTGTTTGCCAGTCGAGCCAGTCGAGCTGAAGGTGACAAGCAGGCGGTGTGGTTCACACTGGGCATCAGAGAAGTGATCAAAGGCTGGGATAAAGGCCTGCAGGACATGTGCTCTGGAGAGAAGAGGAAACTCGTCGTACCTCCAGCCCTGGCCTATGGGAAGGAAGGGAGAGGTACTGTGGCTTAGTGCATGTGTATGCAAACTTCACTGCACGCTGCTGTACAGATACATAGCACTGTCTTCGTAAAAGTGCTTGAGGCGTTTAGAATAAATGAAATATTATCCCGTGTATTATGCATGTATGTATATTATACTTGTCTGTCTGTGTTTTGAATGGCTCTCTAGGACTCTCACAGTTTCATTCGGAAATATCAGTCCACTTTTTCTCAACATGGAGCATGTGAACAATGCTATGCTTTGTCCTGGTAAGCACACACCACCCTAACAAGAACATCCATCTCTTCTGTGCCTAACTAACCTTTACCATGATGACGACAACAAAAATGTCATGATTAATGCAACCTACGTTTGCTTCTCATTAACATTTTCAAGATGTTTTCTAACTTATTTACTCACAATTTAACTCGGAATGTGTTGCTGCATTCACTCACACAGGGGCATCATTTCTGCAGTGCTAACCAAACTAAAATGACTTTCTTCATGCTGAAGTAACTCTCACAGAAACTTCATGTGATAGCCACTCTCAGTTTTAGCTGACCTCTTGCCCTGTGGTGTTGTCTGGTCAGGTAAGATCCCACCTGACAGCACACTGACCTTCGTCATCGAGGTGCTTGAGATCAGAAATGGACCGAGGTCACATGAGTCCTTCCAGGAGATGGACCTCAACGATGACTGGAGGCTCTCCAAGGACGAGGTATACACAAGTGTTCAGAAAACACATAAAGTAGATGAATTAGCCATCGCCAACCTTTTTGGTTTATGACCCTATAGAGCTAAGCAATGCTTATTCACAGCCCCAGGAGCAGTTCCCATCTTAGATTGTGTTATTTTGATGGTTTTTATCTATTTCATTTTTCTATCATAACTAGTTAATCACCTCAAGACCCCTCATATTTTAACCACTGCTATAAACAAATCGGTCACTGAGTGTGTGTGGCCCTCCACCAACGAGAAAGATGGGTTAAACAATTGTGGAACAACTTTCAATAAAGATGACATCTAAGTTAAGCCAGAAATAATAAGCAGACCTGATATATGGGGCCCTTTCCCAACTTAATTAGCTTGTCGGAGTTAAAAAAGACCAACGGGGCCAACTGTCGATCATCGAAAATAAGATGTAGAAGCAACATCTTAAACTATGAGTACTGTGTATATTGTTTTATAGTCTTGGTGAATAGCAGGTATATTATTGAGAAATAGTACTGACAATTTGATAAGTGCAT